CCATCGATGACTTTATAGCCCCGCGTTGTAACACAAGCCACAAACCAGAAGTGGCCGCTTGTGAGGACTCGGTTAAGGTGTATAAAACGGAGGGAACGCCTCTCAACTTCAGTCTCGCCTCATCGCTGTCCGATTTTCGCGACACTGGACTCACTTTTGCCGAAGAGAAAAAGGATTTGTGCGCTTCATTAGCCGCCAATAGCACCACATTTGATGCAATCGCACACCAGTGCAACAGTAGTGACAGTAAAACTACTGACAAACCCAGAGTCATGTTTAAAAAGCCAACTCTTCCGCCGAAACCCAAATTTACGATTTCGCCAAAGAAACCAACAATTGATGAAACTGTCGAAGAGTGTGACCAAAGCAACCAAATAGAGTCCAACAATAGTGTTGTATTTGACGACAATTTCATGAAGGCTTCCATTTCTACCAATAGTATTGTCACCAATGAAAATATCTGCGAAGAGTATTTCTGCGAAGAGTATACTCATGTATTCCCGGAGCAGTTCTATCAACTCTTTGAGTGACTGTGAAATCAAGTCAGACGTGTGTCAGAGCTCTGTTATCAGTGAATTCAGGTTTGTTATCATTGAATGCCATTTCCTGTGATATAACGTAATAATTGGTGTTTGTATTTAATAGTGGTCGAGCATCGGAAGTGGTCACTCCAAGTGATTTGCCCGACAGTCCATTAGACAGTCCGCGACCATTGAGTCCCAAACCGACTCCAAGATTACACGATCGGCAAACTGGCAAACGAGAGACAGACAGACAGACCACTGCTGTTAGTGTTGCCAACTCGTAAATGTGTAATAGTGGCAATTTACCTCAAAAGCCCCTAAAAATAGTGGCCAAATAGTGGCAATAGTTTTTTGCATAATATTTATGTCTTATTTGTCCGGCTAGGTCAAATATAAGACAAATTATGGATTAAAACTCTAATACGTGGTAAAAATTCGTGATCAATGGACAGAAATCATGTCTCGTTATGAGCAGGACGAATTGTTCTTGACAATTGTTTACGTTTATAACTTATACATTATTAATAACAATATTTTATATTTAAAAATGTGTTACGCTATCAGTATTAAATTATAATATCATATAATACCAAGTTTCTTAATTACTAAAAATAAAATTGCTTAATATTTTAAAATCGCTAAATATTTCTATGAAATTAATTTAATTTAATCGAACCTAAAATAGTGGACACTATTTAAATGTGCCTAAATATTATAAATATTTATATTATTTTAAACATAATATTTTGTCTATTATTTTCAAATTACTAGTAAATTATTTTGTAATCCATAATTTAAGCATTGTTTAATGACGCGCTGTTAAATATTACATAAATTTATATGTCATATTACTAAATTTTACAATAACACTTAATTTTGCTAAATTTTTATTAGGTATTTGCAGTATTTTTATGAAAATTTCTTTAATTTTTCTTAAAATCAAATAATGGACATTTCTGTGCCACTATTTGCCCTTCAAATTATAGTGGCACATACCCAAAATAGTGGCATTGCCACTTAAATAGTGGCGAGTTGGCAACACTAACTGCTGTACACAACAAATGTAACTCAAATGAAATGGATTGCAAACCTACTGATAATGTTAGCGAAAACTGCGTGTTCTTTGAGGACCGACACATTACTTACGCCACTGAAGGCACTGAAGGCACTCCCGCTATCTTCTCGTTGTGCACGAGTTTGAGTTCGTTAACGGAAGACATCGATGCTATCAATCTGAACGACAATAATGGCCACAAAAGTGATGCATTGACTCAAATTGTTGAAGTGAATGATATGAATGATATGGACTCTCAAATTGTTTACACTTCCAGTGAAGACGAGGGAGAAGACCAATTATTGGCCGCATGTATTTCATCGGGTATTAAGCTTTTGTTAAGCATTTTCATAGTTTAAAACAATTGTCGTTTTTAACATGTATTTCATTGTTTCGTAGGAATGAAGAGTATATCTAATGAGAAAACAATTTCTTGTAATTCTATTCAGAGAATTAAACCCAAAGAAGTTGTAGTTAACTCGAGTTCAATCAAATCGATGCCTATTCCTAAGCAACGTTCGACGGCTTCAAGTGAATCAATGACGCGGTCGGCGCCCGACGGCAGACCATCGTATATGAACGCAATGAAAGTGTCCCCCATTTCGCCAGTACTGCCAATACTGACAACACATGCTTATAATGATAGGACACCATTCAAGTGTATGCCACCGAAGATACTCCATGTGTTTTATCGAAGACCAGTTCTCTGAGTGAAATATCCATTTTAAGTATATACCACTTAATCGTCTACTTTTTATGTAACATTAATATGAATTTTATGTATTTATTATAGCGAATGGCAAATCTCGTAATACATGTGTGAATCCGATCCATAATATATCGGATGAGAGCGACGACGAAGAGATACTTCAAAAGTGTATTGAGTCGGGAATGACTGCAAATCGTAAACTAATTAACACGAGTAACAAATGTGACAAAAATGGTAATAAAAGATCTCCAAAAACGCCAAAATGGAGGCCATTTAGTCAGATGGAAGACAATCTACATTCAGAGCCACAAAACACGACCACAATTCAAACCACGACAAAAACAGCCAAGAGTTGCGACAACTCTCGGCGTAAGTGTCTCGTCACCTCTGTTTGAGTTATACTACTTTAGCCATTGAACAATGTAATCAAAATGTATAAAATAATAATAAATGTTAAATTATGATTAATAAAAAGTTTTACAAAATTATTATTAAAAAATAAAATATTTAAAATAAATATTATGTAGTCTTGTAGGCACACGTTAGGTTAGGTTAGGTTAGGTTAGGTTAGGTTAGGTTAGGTTAGGTTAGGTTAGGTTAGGTTAGGTTAGGTTAGGTTAGGTTTTTTTTTTGCCTGAAAATTATTTATTTATAATTATAAACGTTATACAAATTGTTTGATATATATAGACGTTAACGTAAGACGTTAAACGTGTATTAATATTATGGATATATAATTATGTCTTAAAAAGTTATACTAAATATAGTGAACATAAGACGTAGGACGTCAGAACGTTTGACAAACAATTTATAAATATAATAAGATATTGAAAGTGTAATTAAAGTTGAACGTCATAACGTTTACATTAAAATAATAAATAATTAATAACCCTGCTATGTATGCAAGGAATTGATGGATTTTCAATTGTCTTTGTCTTCTATCTGTTTATTATTTCTTCGTTTCGTTGTCTTCTATCGCATTTGACGTCAACGTTGACGTCAGTCATTACTATTATTATTATTAAATGTCTTTAGATTTCCTATTATTTCTTTTGCGAACGTCACGTATTCGGTCAACAGGTCGTCATATCTTATTACATCGATGAATACTTTAAAGTCAACGGATTTTGCTGAACACACATATTCAAGTCGACGTCTACACGTCCCGAACTTTGGGCAATAATATAGTAAATGTTCAATTGACTGTTCTGTCTTGTTATCACATGGACACGTCGACGTATCAGAGATCTTAAATCTATTAAGATTTTTATTATTAAAGCCGTGGCCACTTAGAATTTGCGACATTTCGAACGTCGGTTCCAAACGTTTATTCATCTGACGTCCATGATGTATTGATGGGAGAAAAGTTTTGGTCACTTTACCGGTTTGAGAGTCGACGTAACGCTGATTCCATTCATCAATTATCTGCTCACGTATTAGACGTTTAGCTGTTGTTATCGGGAAATCGCTGAACACTGGAGACGTTTTCTTTGACGTCGCAGATTTCGCCAAACCGTCTGCGGCTTCATTGCCAGGTATACCGACATGAGCTCGCGTCCACGTGAACGTCCACGACGTTTGACGTTCAGTAAGACTTTGAAGTTTTTGATGAATGCTGTTCACAATTGGGTTAACACTACTCCGCTTTCCGAGCGCTTGGAGTGCAGACTTTGAATCCGAGAATATTCTGATCGAAGACGTCCGACGTCTGAGACAGTATTGCAACGCAAAGTTAATGGCAGTCAATTCCGCCTGAAACACAGAGCAGTCGTTTCCAAGTTTCTGCGTTTGATGTGAAGTTTTGTTGCCGTTCTCATAGACTACAAAAGCACTTCCGACTTTGCCGTCCAGTTTACTTCCGTCTGTATATATCGAAATGTCTGCGTTTTCTTCCAAGTCTATAGCGGCGTCCGACGTCTCAACGTCAACGTGTGAAACTGTAATACGATTTGCCGGGTGTTCCAACGTTCTGAAGTCTACACGTCCTTGATATATAGAGTCCGATGCTATGTGTTGTGAAGTGCCGGTAATCTTGACGTCGTCAATCATTGAAAGTTCGCGTATTCTGAGATCGATTGGTATCAAATTTGCAATTGCCAACGCTGACGTTAGAGACATTGTCCGGAAACCACGAGCCACACGTATAGCAAACGGACGCTGAAATTGGTCTAATTTACGCCGTATATAATCGTACTTTAAGGCTGATGACCAGATGTTGCACCCATACGTAAGTCCCGGTTCGATGGCCTGCTGATACATAACACGGATAACTTCAGATTTCACGCCCCACGTTGGACGTGCGACTTTTGCGAGCGCTCGATAAACTCGTTGTGCTTTATTTATGGCGTATAATACGTGATGAGTGAATTTGAGGTTCTGATCGATTATAACTCCGAGTAATTTAATCTCTGAAGAAGTTGTTAATGAACGTCCAGCCATTCCAACGTTTAGTAAACGTGCGGATTTTGTGAACGCAATGACTTGTGTTTTGTCTGCTCCAAACGTCAGTTTCATATCGGAGCCCCACTCGCTGATTATTTGAAGAGATGTTTCAATATTTGTTTTAAGAACGTTGACGTCTTTGTGGTGACACATAAGTAAAACGTCATCAGCGAACGCTTGTAGTGAACAGCCATCCGGAAGTATAACATTAAATATCTCGTCGAGAATAATGTTCCAGAACGTTGGCCCACAAACTGAGCCCTGAACACATCCTTTGGTCATACGTTTGGACGTTGTCTCGTTGGCGTAATGGATTCTAACGTCTCTGTCTGTCAAATAATGTTGGATTAGTCTGTATATATTCCTCTTGATACCACGTCTTTTCAATCCGTTAAGAAGTGCCGGCCACCAGGCGTTGTCAAAGGCCGCCGCAATGTCTAGAGACACGGCCGCGACTTGTTGACCGTTTGACTTTGACGTTCTGATGAAGTCAACAACAGATCTGATGGCGTCCAACGTTGACGTCTGCTCCGTGAACCCAAACTGTTTTCTTGAAAGTTGGTTACGTCTGTGAAAATCCCAAGTGATGCGACGTTTGAATAAAGATTCGAGTCCTTTGCCAAATACAGGTAATAGTCCAATCGGTCGATAAGACTTCAGCTGACTGTAGTCATCTTTAGCAGGCTTTGGAAGAATTTTCACCGTCGCAGACTTCCACGCCGTTGGGAACAGTCCAAGCGTTAAACATCTGTTGTAAAGTTTTGTTATAATATCGGGAAAACGTTTGACAAATTGAAGGGCAACGTCCGCAGTGATGTGGTCGTGTCCCGGCGCTTTCTTCGGATTCATGTTTTCGAACACTTCGAGTATTTCATCGTAAGTGAACAGAACGTCGTCCGTTGCGTCGGCGTCTGTTGTCGATGACGAACGTCGAACTTCGGTTTGTTGCTGTGTTTCATTAGTTAACGTATCGTCGGGATAAAAGTGGTTTAGTAAAGCTGTGGCTGTGGTCTTAGCATCTGTTGTGTAGTTTCCGTTGATTAATAGTGTTGTGGGCGGGCGGGGAGTGGGAGAGTCCTTAAGAATGCGATAGACGTTGGACCAAACGTCGTCCCTTCCTTGACGTCCAACGTATTCTTTCCAACTCTTAATTGATTCATCTGATATGAGTTGTGCGTATTCTTCTTTAAACTGCTTGTATTCATCGATGGCTTCAGTCGGGGGTGTGTGTATTGCGTTCCGGAGCCGACGTCGCAAACGTTGAACTTCTCTCTTTTTGTCTTCAAGTTCTGACGTCCACCAGGGACATATCTTTTTGCCTCGTTTTCTCAACGGCATCGACGCAGCACATGCGGTGTTAATGGCATCGGTTAAACGCCCGACTAAATCATCCAACGTTTCAACGTCCGTGATAGACTCGACTGATGATACACTGACGTCCACGTCCAAAAGTCCTTTATTGCACACATCGATGAATTTGTCCCAATCGGCTTTCTCACTTCTATACTTAAACGTCGACACCGAGTCGTTTGTAATGAGTTCTTCTCCGAGAGCAACGTCAAACAGAATAGGGTTGTGATCGCTGTTTATTATAATGTTTTGGTCGACTCTCCAATTGTGAACGTTTGGTAGAGCAGCGTTTGAGGCCAACGTCAGATCAACGATAGACACGAAACGTTGATTGCCACGTATTGTATCAAACGTCGGTGTATTTCCATTGTTAATTAATTCAAAACCGTCGGACGTACAGAATTGTGTGATCAAAATACCGTTTTCGTTGTTAACTCTGTTCGGGTCCCACGACACGTGTGATGAATTGAAGTCACCACCGATGATAACTCTTTGGGCATTGATTGATGCGTCGGAAAGTTTTAATATCATGTCCGAAATGTCTGTTTTTGGCGGGTTATAAACGCTGCAAAGCCGGAACGTTGAACTTCCGATTTTGACGTCTACTGTTGTGATATCTGAGGAACTGTGTTGTGTTTGAAGAATTGGTTGAACGTTAGGGTTAAATACAAGTATAGCGGATCTAACAACGCCTGTTAGATGACGTTGAAAGACTTGGATTTGAGAAGTACCCTTGACGTACCCACGGGCACCAACATATGGTTCTTGAAGTAAAGCAACGTCGACGTTGAGATCGACGCACTTTTGTAAAAGTTCTTTATGACATTTTAGATTTCTTTGACAGTTTAGTTGAAATACTTTGAATTGAATTTTGCGGTTAACAGACATAGTCGGTCATTTCATTGGCTCTCGCTTGCATTTTCTGGACGTGCGGACAATACTTCGACGTCGCGGCGTGCGACGTCTGCTCCTGTTTACCGTATTTGACGTTCGACGTCTTGCAGTTAATGCATTTCATTGCTGTTTTGACTTGACGTTGAGTGCATTCAGAAGTCTTGTGTTCTTCGGCGCAATGCCCACAAGTGTCATGACTTTGATTGCAGTTCTTTGCAGTGTGACCGAAGCCAAAGCACTTATAACACTGTAGAAACGATGACATATGGCTGACGTGTACTCTCTGGTATCCAACGTTTACACGTTCGACGTCTTGTAAAGATTTGAATACTTTCGGTGAGACTTCGATAACATAATTGATGAGACGGTCGTTGCGATTCTTACGTCTAAAACGTATTTTCAAATGTTCTTCACTAACGTCATTGTCGATCGCTAACTCAACGTTTGAATTTTGATCGACAAGTGATTTGATGAGTTCGTCTTCTGTAACGTCTTTAAAAACGCCTTTAAGTTCAATCAACGGCCGTTTCTTTTTGGACGGTTCAGACGTCAGAACGTTCGACTTCTCATTGATTTCATTAATGATAATATCTCTCTCTCTTTCGGTTTCAAACTCAAGTCTGATGGTGTTGTTGGAGAGACGTGTGATGCGATTAATGCCAACTTTAAGCTTACGTGGGTTGACAGTCTTCATGAAGAGTTGGCTTAT